CCCTCAGGTGTCCATTTAGCTGGCTGCTCATCAGTTGAGGCTCTGCTCCAATGTTGCTTTCTCAGGAAACATTTTTTAGATCCCCCTAACTAAAATCGTCTTACCCCACATAAACTCTCTCTCTCTCTCTCGTTGCTTTGTTTTATTTTCTTTACAACATTTAGAACTATCTGAAATTCTCATGAGGTTATCAGTTTGTTGTCTGTCTCCCCTGCCAGAAAGCAAGCTCTCTGAAGACAGGGCCCACAATCTCTCCCTGTTCATACAGCACTACCAGACAGGCAATGAGTGCTTGCTAAATATTTATTGAGCAAATGATCTCCACAGTGCAAGTCATAATCAACTTCGTAAACAACAACCAAAGGTCAGTCTCTGTACCTTGAGATCATACCAGTCCAGGGACACTGACCATCCAGACAACAGTCTGCAGCCAGCTCCTGGCTGAAAGGGCAGATGGTTCAGGCTGGAAACCCAGTTGGCCCTCAAGGACTTCCCGTGCTCTCTCACTAATCTCTCACCATCATTCCGAGTCAGAAGGCAGAGTACACTCAAAGGGCCTTTCCTGTAGGTTTATAAATAAGTCTGGGCTCATGTCTGATCCCAGACTGGCCTACATGGCAACTTGCCCTCCTCTCGCTCATTTAGTAGGACGGCTCCCTGTAAGGTTAGCAAATAACCATGGTGCAGAGAGCAACCCAGAACAAAAACCTGTTCTGCATGCTCACACAAACACCACACGTTTAAGATTCTCTCTCAAACCTCGATCCAGGCTTTACAGAAGCAGTTCAGCCCAGTCTTACCCCAGAGTTAGGAACTGTCCATTTTTTTTAAAGATTGTATTTATTTATTTGACAGAGAGAGACACAGCGAGAGAGGGAACACAAGCAGCGGGAGTGGGAGAGGGAGAAGCAGGCTTCCTGTGGGGCAGGGAGCCCGATGTGGGGCTCGATCCCAGGATCCTGGGACCATGACCTGAGCCAAAGACAGACACTTAACGACTGAGCCACCTAGGTGCCCCATGTCCATTCTAATTCAGAACGGCTACCTGGCTTATTTTTTTTTGTAAGTCATTTCATTCAAGTAAACACTGAAGTAATGCATCAACCGTAGAGTGCTTGTCACTCGAAAAATGTTATTACTAAGCCCAAGCCATTGACACGTTTACCAAGATGTCACTTGTGAGTTCTTTGGGAACAAATTGCTCAAAATGGTATTTGAGATTTTTTTTAATTATTAAAAAATTGACATGAAATGATTTTATGGACACGACTTATATTTCTTTGTATATTGAATGCAACACAATAATCCACGACTTCCTTTTTATAAAGACTGACTTGGTATTTGATAACATGAAACAACAGGGCTCAATGACTGGAGAGTATATATGCCATTTTATTACAGACAGAAGCCTTAGAAAAGATAGGTGCCTGTAAGGTGGACAGTCAACGCATTGCAAGGTTTCACAACACAATAGGTTATATGCCACAGGCTGCATTTTACTCGTTGCATCCCTCGGCGTAGGATTAGGCTGCTTCAGTTAGGGCAAACTCCTTGCCCTTCCGAGTGAAGAGCCAGTGAGGTAATTAACCTCTCTGGCTTGACATGAGGATAACTGAACAGTCAGGAACAGGGTTCTAGAGGCAGATCATTTGGAGTTGAGGGTCTTGGTTCCCTCACTTTCAGCTGTGTCACCACAGTCAGGATATCCTGCATGAACTTGGGCATTGTACTTAATTCCTCGGAGCCTGCATCTCTTCATCTGCAAAGTGGAAACATCTCCTAGATCTGTTAGTACAGATTAAATTGCATAATGTATGCAAAACATTTAGCACAGCCCATTCCAACTTCAGCTGTTGTCATTTATGAATTAGGAGGATTCTAGCAGGCAACTTCTGACCTCTCTTCTGAAAGTCTTCAAGGACTGCAGAACTGGGAAGGATACAAGGCCACTTGAGTTGATACCAAGATTACGAAATCAACAGCATGTAGACACATGAGCTCAGGCACAGCCAGACAATTCATATGTATTAGTGTCATGATGAAAAAAACACCAACCAGTTCAGCTGGAGGGTTGACTATAACAGTGCTTGCAGAATTAAGTTCTATGAAACTGCACAGAAATTCATCCAAGAAAACACATGTTACCTAGTCCAGGCTGCAGACATGCATCCATACAGTGGATATCATTACCATTTATGAGAACAATCCTTTTCCAGTTCTCCTAAAGGGAGTCACGGGTCCCTTACCTCCCAGAGTTACTCCTGTCTTCTTGATGTTTAGGACATCTTAGATTTATATAACTGTTTTCTGTTATGCATTTCTATATGTTTTGGCTCAGTTCATTTAAAATTCACAATATTTCTATGCAATATGCAAAGGAGGTAGTGCTAATGCCATTTTTGATTTTTCTTCATTCTGTTCTATTTTAATGCAGGAGGAGTGTGAGACCCAGAGAGGTTAAGCAACTTGCCCAGAGGTCACGTATCTGTCCACAGACAGTAGGAACACAGTTCAGTGAGCTTCCTTCCACATAAATGTTTCTCAAACTGTAGCATGCATATGAATCACGGGATCTGATTACAATGCAGCTTCTGAATTCAGTAAGCCTGGCGGGGGAGCTAAGGTTCTGCATGTCCAACAGGATCCCAGGACTTGCTGCTTCTGGCAGCCTCCAGAACATCCTCCACAACACCACACCCTCCATAACACCCCAGGCATGTCCTGTCTGCTACTTTACTCAATAGCAATTGCACCCTTTGGGTCCATTCATTTTCCCCCACTAGACTATGAGCTCCCTAGGAGCAGGAAAACTGCTTTCTTCACTACTTTGACCTGGCTGTTCAGCACCATGCCTGGCAAAAAGGAACTGAAGGCGTATTTTTGAACAGTGAAAAAAAAAAGCAATATATTTCTAATTATAAGGCCAAGACTCTGATTACTTATTGCAAAAAGATATTTATCAATGTTCCTTTGTTGCCACAAGTCATATTGTATTTAGTTGTAATTGCCAGGTCCCAAAATAACATCACCAAAGGATCCCTCCTGTGTCAAGGGGTTTAGATCTACACCTCGCCCAGAACTATACTGGGGCCCAGTGGCAAACAGTCACACTCGCAAGCCAAGGGCATGGGTTATGTGAGGTCATTCCAAGGGCAAGGAGGAAGTGTAGGACAGGGAGGTGACTGAGACCCTCTACCATTCAGCTTGAAGGAAGTCAAGTCACTTGTGCTCCCACCTGAGGTTGCTGATAATACCAATCTGTTGCGGTTTCAGTTTTTCCATTAACCAAGAACTGTGCTACACACTTTGCATGGTCATCTCATTTCATCCTCTCTACAAGCCTATGATACAAGCACTTGTTTTATAGGTAAGGGAGGGGAGACACAGGGCCCTTAAACTGTAAGAGGCAAAGCCCAGATTTGGACGGAGGTAGTCTGGCTTCAGAGTCAATGCTTCCAACCACATTGTCTACTGCCTGGAAGCAGACAAGGGGAAAGAGAAACAATTTCCAGAAGATGGAGTGACTTTACTCTCCTGTCAGTAACTGATAATAGGCCCCAAAAAATCCCAAATAGAGGGAAGTGGGGAGAAACCCATTACATCAACAGGACGTGACCCTTATATCCAAAGGGAAGGGGGTGAATGTATAGTGTAGAAGTTGGATTTTCTGTTACAGCAAATGTTTAAATAGTTTGACTCTGTTTGGCTTATGGTTAAATACACAACACCACTGAAAGATTAAGTAAGAGTCAGTTAAGTAATAAGTCTCAAAGGTCCCAGATTCCTTTCACACTTCATTAGGCCTCTTGTGAAATCTTGCATTAATGATTGGGCCAAATCTGAGAAAATGGTCATCACATGGAAGAAATCAGAATTTTGTGAAGCATGTGTGTCCAATGTAAAAAGCCAGAAAGTCTAAAGGACAGAGTGACCTTTGCTTTTCAGACACTTAAGAAGCCGAAGTTCAAAGTTATATTTTAACACTGTTAAAGAGTGGAAATGAGGAAATTAAGAAAACAAGTAAAGAGAAGGCATTGCCAAGCAGGGTAAATGATCTCTCTTTTTCATAAAAGATTTTTAAATGTGGAGTAAGAAAATAAATAGGGGCAATGCAAAAATACAGCCCTAGGGGCTTGAATAAAACATTATTGTGAAAAAAAGCTGAGCTCTGCAGATTGGTTTTTAATCACACTTGTCTTATTATTATTTACCTTTGGTGGCAACATAATGTGGATTGCCACGGCCCAAGACCTGGTTCTGCCGCTTCCTCGTGTTGGTCTCAAGGTAGCATAATTCTCCCAACATCCCATTTTTCCTTCTGTAAAATGAGGGCAACAAACCTGCCTCCTAGAATTATTGTGAGCCTTATATTAAATGACATACTGGGAGCATTTAGACCCAAAGAGAAAACTGACACACACTGCACCTGTTTTCTCTCCTCTCATCTAAGTTCTATTTTCTTAAAAGAATCTCTTTACGGTATTTCTATTCCTAACTCTTAAGTTTTTGTTGATAGAAACATAAAATTGTCCAGCGTTCAGAAAAACATACCTACCTCCACACAGATGAGATAAGTGTACAAGAAAATGAGTATAAACTACTGGCATATCTTATGGAAAGATTATCATATGTTAAGCTTGGTGTGTTAAAAATAGAACCAGATAAAATTCCAGGTAGGTATGCATCCTAAAAAAAAAAAATCACCCTTAATTACACTTACAAATTTTAGTCAATCTACCAAATTACAATCGTGTTAAAAAGTCAAGAAGTTTTATGAATCAGTAGTGTAAATTTCTGGAGAAAAAAAACACATTAATTTTTACGATGTTTTATAAACCTTAAGGTACTAAACAACACAAGATATTGTTTTGATTTTAATGTCCTTTTGGCTTCTAGAATAACTGGAGATCAAAATAAAATCACTCAACAAATTAAACTACAAATTTTTATTCAGTGGAATTAATGTGAAATTTACATGTTAAGCAAGGGAACTCAGCTCTTCAGGAAGTTATAATGACATATACAATAGACATAAAGTCAACAAAGATAACAAACAAAATTTTTAGAAGTCTTCCAACAATTTCATCTTCTGGACTTGCGGGAATAGTAGTAGACATTAATATCCAGTTTTTACACATCATATCCAGAATGTTCTTGCTCCCTAGGGGGAAAAAAGAGAGAAGAGTATCCTGAAATAAACATATTTATAATCCTGATTCTTTAAACTCAATGGACTATTTGTACTGTAAAGAAACAGTGATGAGGAAACATCTCTACACATCTATAACCTGCCAATAAACTAAAATTATTTTCCCCCTAATGAATTAAAATATTTTCCCCCCACTCATTTTTACCACTTTATGTCATAATCATACATTTTTCTACATGTCAAATATGCTTTTCTTTCTAAAAAGAAAGAGCTTGGGATGCCTGGATGGCTCCATTGGTTAAGCATCTGCCTTTAGCTCAGGTCATGATCCCAGGGTCCTGGGATCGAGTCCCGCATCGGGCTCCCTGCTCAGCAGGGAGCCTGCTTCTCCCTCTGCCTGCCATTCCCCCTGCTTGTGCACTTGCTCTCCCTCTCTCTCTCTCTCTGACAAATAAATAAATAAAATCTTAAAAAAAGAAATAAATAAAAAGAAATAATAACCATCCAATAAAATGATGGTTATTACAACTATGAAATAATAAAAACACAGCTCAAGGAACTATCAGACTGACCATTCTCTTGTCATGTTAGCAGTAATTAGTTTTTTATGAAATCTCATCTACAAAGTCATCATCTCTATTGGCATCCGTGAAATTGCCCTTCTTCGCACCTGTATGGGCAGCATCGCCAGGAAATGAGAATTTGAAGACATGGAAAAAGGCAGGTGATAAAATGTTTTTTTATTAAACAACAAAAGGTCTTTTTCATTGTCTTGATCTTTCCTCAAGGTTCTCTCTCTCATTATTTTGGTCACTGAATAAGATATCAAACATTTAATTTCCTCCACGTTTCTGTGTTAAACAGTTTTTACAAATAACAGGAATTTCAAAAAGTATTATGGAATTTTAAAAGGTACTAATGTGAGCTCTGTGTAGCACACTGTTGGAACATTCTACCAAATGCCTGTCAGGTAGGGAGTTCAGAACCATTCTGAACTCCCTTTTCAGGAATGCAAGGTCAAATAAATCAAGCAATTTTCAAAGACTTATCTCAAAGTTCCTTTTATACACTCAAAAAGGAGCGTCAATACTTTTTAAAAGTGGCAGTGTTGGGATAGAAGAATATTTTTTGCTATTTTCACTCAAAAACCAAAAAGGCACGTTGAGTTGTGAGAGAGAGGGGAAGAGATGAGGTTTGGACGGTGTTGTCTTCTTCCAATTTAGCAATCTTGGTTAAGTTCTGTAATAACTAGCCCCATTCCTGGAGGAGGGAATGGCAGGCCCCAAATTACACAGCACTCACTGGCAAAGCAAACACCTAGAATTTCCCTGACATTCAACGATTCCTTTTGCCTATGTCTCAGAAACAAGGGGTGAGAATAATACATGGGTTTGCTAAGTGATTTCCTTCACTCCTATGGCTGTGGCCTCCAACTCGTATTTCTTTAATCTGTGCTCTGAGGGGCACCTTTACTTTCCTCCAACAACAGCAAGAGACCAAAATAGGAAGTGTGGGAAAGACCAGAGAGCTGGTGGGGACTGGTGAGTGAGTAGAAACCTGTTTCTCACCTGACTTAATCCCACGTAGTGGTAGTTAACCCTGCTCCTTGGTGTTCTCTCCCTAAGCTCTTGCTAGAACAAAGTGCATTCAGCACAGGTGGTCTCTTAGCAACCTTGGTCCCTGTGCCAAAGCACATTAAAAAGGTTTTATTGCATAGTGAGATAGTATACAAAGTGGAGGAGCAGGGAGGCTGCTAAAATTACTTTCAAAGAAGTCAGGAAGATGTCAAAGAGCGGACTTCGGGAAATATGACACTTTAATTTTAATTTATCACAGATTTGTGCAGCCAAACACTGAAATTTTAACAGATAGGTTAAGCTGAATTCTAGGGTTTTCCTGGCAGGGCAAACATTCATCATGTTTTTAAAACAATACTTCTCAGGGGGTGGGGGAATGGGAGAAATGTTGTTTAAGGATACATACTCACAACTAGTAAGAAAGTTCTAAAGACCTAATACCCAGTACAGTGATTATAGACAATAAAATTACATTATAAACATTAAACCTGCTAAGAGACTAGGTTTTAATTGTTTTCAACATGAGAAGAAATGGTAATTATGTGATGTGATAGAGGTACTAGCTAATACTACTATGGCAATCATACTGTGATATAAATTTATCCAATCAATATGTCTTACAACTTACACTTATGCAGTGTTGTAGGTCAAACACAACTGAATCAAAAAATTCCCTAAAAATTATCTTAAATATATTTGCTTCAATATCTTCTATGACAGCGAACAAAACTTCACTGTCTATGTAAGACCATAGTTCATGTGATTGTGTGTCTGCTATAAATTCTTAAGTTTTAAAATTTTGTATCACTTTTATGAACAAATTAGAAAGTGCAGGAGTAAATTTATTACAAAAGACCAGCCTATAAAATTTAGGCACAAATGGAAGATTACTTATCCAATAAAATGATGGTTATTACAACTATGAAATAATAAAACACTACTTAGAAAATTATGTTTAAAAAAAATCAAATATGATTAAAACCCTTACCTTACGACCACCCATTACACTCCTAGGTATATACTGGGTGCATGGATATCCACACCAGGATGCACATTGTTCGTAATATTCTCCACTTAGAAACAGCCTGAATGCCCATTAGCAGATAAATAGATAAATTCACATAATGGAATACTACACAATACTGAAAATTAAGCTACAGCTACATACAAAAGCAGGGGTAAATTTTACAATTATAATATTGAGTTTTAAAAAGCAAGGCACCAAAGGGGCACATGGGTGGCGCATTTGGTTAAAGCATCCAACTCTTGGTTTTGGCTCAGGTCATGATCTCAGGGTCGTGAGATCATGCCCCTTCGGGCTCTGCATTCAGTATGGAGTCTGCTTGAGATTCTCTCCCACTCCCTCTGCCCCTCCCCCTGCACTCTCTCTCTAAAATAAATAAATCTTCTTTTAAAAATGTGCAGTTTAGGGATGCGTATGTGTATGGCAACCGTGTAGGAGGTCAATTTATCAAGAAAAGCAAGCGATTGGCTACCATACATCAGGATGGGGTGACTTCAGCAAGGGTAAGGGAAGGAACAGGTGGGATGAGGAGCTCCCGGCACTGTTTAATTTCTTGTCCTGGGTGGTGGTTACATTGGCAGTCACTTTTTAACCACTTGTTAAACTGTACATATAAGCTTTATGTGCTTTTCTGCATGTATGTGAAACTTCACAACTGAAATATGAGAAGAAAAAAAAAAGAAAGAAAACAAAAATATCTACAAACGATCACAGAGGCCAAGTTTGGAAGGAAGGACTATATGTGATTTTTTTTATCCTTGCCATTTCCATGTCTTGCATTTTCATTTAAAAGGACATTGCTTGCTTCTAGACATGTATCCTATGACCTCACTGATATGAGGAATTCTTAATCTCAGGAAACAAACTGAGTGTTACTGGAGTGGTGGGGGGTGGGAGGGATGGGATGGCTGGGTGATAGACATTGGGGAGGGTATGTGCTACGGTGAGCGCTGTGAATTGTGCAAGACTGTTGAATCACAGATCTGTACTTCTGAAACAAATAATGCAACATATGTTAAGGAAAAAAAAAAAGAAGAAGATAGCAGGAGGGAAGAATGAAGGGGAGTAAATCGGAGGGGGAGACGAACCATGAGAGACGATGGACTCTGAAAAACAAACTGAGGCTTCTGGAGGGGAGGAGGGTAGGGGGATGGGTTAGCCTGGTGATGGGTATTGAGGAGGGCACGTTCTGCATGGAGCACTGGGTGTTATGCACAAACAACGAATCATGGAACACTACATCAAAAACTAATGATGTAATGTATGGTGATTAACATAATAATAAATGAGAAAAAAAAGGACATTGCTTGCTTCTATAACTTTAGAAAATAAAAAAACTAGTTTCAAAATTGCCAATCCCTCTCCTTCTCCATATATACAAAATAACGTACACTGATTTTATTTTTGCCAAACCAATCATTTAAGCAAGTATGAACTTGGGAAAATTAGATTTATCCATGAGACATTTTAATGAAAATATGAAACTTATGTGAATAAGTACAAATTACCTATTTTCAATTAAAATGTTTCGCTGATAAACTTAACTTTCCTTGAGTTCATTTTAAGTCTCTTTTGCTAAAGAACATGTTCTTGTCTCGTTCAAAATGCTCATGATCAACAGGAATATGGGTGGTTCCTGTTTGGTTCTTCAACTTGATGATAGATCTGCTTTTAGATCTAAATCATTGGAAGGACACAGACTTGTATCATCACAAGCTTATTAACATGCTCAGATTTTACTGTGGATTAAAATTATGAGTGTCACTGCACTTTGATTTACATTTCGTTTAATTCTTACTTAACTCAACGCTTTGTAATCGGGTGTTTTTTTCTTTGGGATTGGAGGGACATTCTTTTTGGGGGGAAAAGCTATTTAGCAGCAGCAGTTTTCAGGGGAAAAAATGATTCCTAGTGTTTTTTATTGGATACAACATGCACCAAAAATACAAATTTCAAACAAATTAGGACACTTTTAAGAATATGATAGAACATACTGAGCGTGACTATTTCAAGACCATGGTCTTATCTTGAATGTAGTATTTAAAAATCACAACTAAAATAACCTCCAATTTCTGATATAAGATATCCCAGATTATTTTGGGCCTAATAATACTTCACGTCGAAATTTCAGATGACTGCAAATAATTTATCATCTCATTTGCAATGCTTCTACCTACCTTTCTTTTCCCTATTTCCAGAAGGCACTGGGAATCAATTTATTTTTTTATAGAATGTTGTACTGAAAATACTCTCTTATCTAGTTTTTAAGATTTGTATTTATTTTATCTTTTGACTCCAGGGAGAGTCTAAATAATCTAATTCAAAGTGACCCGTTCATTGTTTATCGAGGGGTTGAATAGTGGTATTCCACAAAGGAAGCTGGACAAATGG